ATGTATGTATGTATGTATATGTGGTACTATGCTGTATTACATTTTATCTTTGTTTTACATTCTATTACATTGGCTTATTTTATCAGATTAACATATTTATTGAGTTTTCTCATTCTATAACATGTCATCGCACGATGTTATAGTATGTTCAAACCTTCTCTGCATTTTTCAGTATACAGGATAAACTGAAATTCTCTTCTATGTTGTTCTATCACATTCAGTTCTGTTCTATTCTACATATACACCCTTTGCCAGCGTACTTGCTATAAGGCGTACATCATATTCGTTCTTATCGGAGTCTGTCGTGCTAAGCACATGCCGTGTATGTCCGATCTCACCGATAGAGCCTGCGGGAGGCTGCTGAGGGGCAATGTCATCATCCACAACTCCCTGCTCAGTGCCTTCTCGCAGGCTTCAAAGTGGCAGGCGGCCTTGCCTGGTGGTGGGATTCTCTGAGTTGCGGGCAAAGTCCCAACTCAAAGCCGAAACCTTGAGCCCTAGGTACCGAATGAGGGAGAGTGGGGCGTCTTTAGCCTGTTGATGGTGTGGTGCTTCTGCTAATGCACTCTGGACCTGTTGGGAGCCTACCTCGGGCAGAGGTCAAAGAATTACCTCAACTGTATCTTCCAAAACCTTTGTAATCCGTGGCTTTCTTGGGGATCTTGGGGCGAAGCGGTAACTTCTCAAACGAGCCCGCATCCTCCGTGTAACCTTGACTGCACCAATAAGCTTTCCTCTCGGCAGCAACACGGACACCAAGCAGTTTGTGCGTAATCTATGTGTGTACATGTCTTGACTTATTTATGTATGACATACATACGTACATGCGGACTGACATACACATGCATTAATTAGTGTATATTCGTACACACATGTATACATATACCACTACAGGCCAACATTGCTTTTGTTGCGAGAAGTACTCATACGAGCGGCCACACGACCCATCATTTTCTATTCCCTTGCTAGCAGCTCGGAGAGATCCAGACTCAGAGAAGAAATAATCGTTTGACTAACCATGACTTGAAATTTCAACATGTAATGTATACTCCTACCTCCTCCTCCTCCTCCACGGAGAATTCCACAGTCATTTTCAGCTCCGGCTAGAGTCTAGAGTCTACCTTCCGGAAACACGCCAGAGGCGGCGCTGCATCTGTTAGACTCGATGGCTGCCCAGTGCCAGCCGGACGCTGTCAGCTACCAGCTTACGAAAGGAGTTGAGGGTTCAATTAGGAGTTTCAGGGCTTTAGAGTGAACAGTGCAGGGTTTAGGGGCTTCAGCGGCTTCAACGCATTAGGGCTTATAGGTTTAAGAGTGCAGGTTTTCAGGCATAGGGTTAGGGGTGTAGGGCAAGTTTAGGAGTTATGGGGCTTGGGGTTTAGTTTGAGGACTCAGCGTTTTGTGGCTTAAGCCATAGACTGCACGTGACTGTACTATAGTTGGTGCTGGGGTGGACCAGGTTCGGCGGATGGCACGACGGAGATTCGCAGTGGCCGACACAGGGTCACTGGAAGTGTTGGGGCAGCAGGCTCCTTAAGCTGGGTTCTTGTTAAGGGGTTTAATCTAAGTTACCATAATAAAGAAACCCTATTAGTTGCTATAGATCCCTGGCATGGTAACTTAAGTTAAAGTTTCTTAAACAAGAGCCCTCACAAGGCAAGCTGACCGCCGTAACCCTAAAGCTGGAACTCCATGCAGGGCCTGTTACTACGGCTTCCAGTTATGATAGGTCATAGCAAAACAAGCAACTAGAACATAGTCCAGCCAGCTGCAAGTGCCCATGAGTGCCCTAAACCGTAAACTCCAAACTCCTAAAAGCCCTGAACCCTGAAACCGCAAAGCCTGGAGCGCCGAAACCCATAAAGCCCTCTAAAGCCCTAAAATGCTCTAAACCGAGGCTACAACACGACCATCACCGCTTGCACTCGTGCGACGCACAGCCAGCATGCCATGGAGCTCCTGTCTTCCATGGAACTTCGGCCCTCACTAGGGTTTAGGGTTTAGGGTTTAGGGTTTAGGGTAGAGTTTAGGCTTTAGGGGTGTAGGATTTAGCGAAGTTGTGTTGAGGCCTTAGGGTTTAGATTAGGACTTAGGGGTGCGTAGGATTTAGGGAAGTTGGGTTGAGGCCTCAGGCAAGTTGGGCTGAGGCCTTAGGGTTTAGGGTTTAGGGTGTTGGCTGTCCTTGCTTGCAGTCTGTGGATGTCGGGCTTGCCGGAGGTTGCTTCAACTCGACTGCCTACACTCTTGCGTAACATACAGGTCGCAATCATTTGACCAGGGTTTGGAGGTCATAGTATGCTTAACAGCAGGTCGAAATCATTCGAGCAGGGTTTGGGGGTCATACCAGTAGTATGCTTATGTGGACAATGTACGAAAGAACCCTAGGGCCCCCTTTATTACCCTGACCGCCCTTGTCATGCAGTGCCATACATACATACCTTTGACCTCTTTGGCACTGCTTCACCAAGAGCATTTTCAGAAGGCAGAAGGGCTGCAAATCGAGCCCTGTTTATTCGTCCGAAAAAATGCGAAACACAGAGCTCACAGCGTCATGCTCCCTGGAGCTCCTCTTACTTAGCACCAAAGCCTGGGCCCAACTGCCCCTAAACCCTAAACCCTAAACCCTAAACCCTAAACCCTAAAACCCCTAAACCATAGCTAGGAGCATCAGAGTCTGGAGCGAAGCGCCATCAGCTTTAACTCGGCCGCGGGTGCTTTTGCGGATGGCCGTTGGGCCTTCTCCCTGGAGTTGCTGTGCCCGGACTAAACGGAGCTTCAGGTGCTCAGGATTTAGGGCGTACCTTAAGAAGCCAAAACCTACTTTTTTGTAGGGTCCCTATAAATCGCATATTAGGGTTTTTCATAAGAACCTACAAAAAAGTGGGTTTTGGGTTCTTAAGGTAGGGTTTAGGCGTTGAGGGTTGAGGAGTTGAGAGTTTAGGGAGCTCCGAGGCAACGAGGCAAGCCCGCTGCGAAAGGGTTTAGGGGCTTTGGGGGCTTAGGGCTTTGGGGTTTTGGGGTTTAGGGTTCAGGGTTTAGGGTTTAAGGTTTAGGGGTTGGGGTTGAGGCTGGGCTCCAGCAGGTTGATTGCTAAGACCTAAACGAGCTGCAGGGCCGAGAATCCCACTCCCATGGTAGAAGTGTAGCTGTTTATCCATGTTCGACTGGTCATTCAGATGTGTACGAGAACTTGTGAGTTGGATTCCTTCCCAAAGGTTCCCCTTCCCTAGGACTTAGGACGGCTGAACTAAGTCCTCGATTCCAGCTTGGGATACGCTTGTTTGCCCTGGTTGAGGGACTGCTGTCAGATGGGCTGATGTATTGGTTGTACACGTGTGTTGTTGGCTTTGTTTCGAACCTGCCTGACAGCTAAGCCTCCGAGGTGAATCTACCCCCGCAGGCGGTTAATGAGTCGTCCGAACCAGTATGGCTGCAGACGTTGTCTGGCTTGTCCGAGTGTGAGTGTCAAAGAACACCCTGAACCCTAAACCCTAACGGACGGAAAAATAACCCCTAAACCCGAAGACCCTAAACCCTAAACTCTAAACGCTAAAACCCGCTTCGGTGGGTTCGCCTATGGCCAGGGCTTCAATGTCCACAGCAGCTGTCGCACCGAACGCTGGAAACTGCAGCGCTGCAATGAATGCCTGTGAGAAGGGCGACTGGTGCTGAAACCCAAGCCTCGAAAGGGTTTAGGGTTTAGAGTTTAGGGTTGAGGGGTTTAGGAGGTTTAGAGTTTAGGGTTTAGAGTTTAGAGTTTAGGTTTTATAATGTTTAGGAGGTTTAGGGTGTAGGGTTTGGGGCTTAGAGTTTAGGGTTTAGGGATTTAGGAGGTTTAGGGTGCAGGGTTTAGGGTGCACCCAGGGTTTATACTTACTCAGGGCATAGATGTTCATCTGTCCGACTGTAAGCTAAGACTCTGTGAGGTGGTGTAGGCGTTTCGGATTGGAGAGGCTTTGGGGCCAGTGTGAGTGTTGTGGACTACGGCGATTTCTCCTTCAGGGTTTGGGGTACTACTACGATTTCTCCTTCAGGATGTAGGGCATAGCGTTTCGGGACCAGGCGGATTGAGCTCACAAGGTGCAAGGACGTAGGACTCGTGAAGACGTTTGTGGAGTCGGGGTTACAGGCCAAGATCGCACCACCCTGCGCCTTTGTTCTTTCAGACTCTTAGACAGCGATTGTCCAAGTGCATCACTTTCTCCTGTTGGCCCTTACATCATCTGTGATTCTTGCATCTGCGCCTGAGGCCTGTCACGCGACCACATATATACAAAAATCTAACATAGAAACCAACGCAATTACCAAGATTATTCCTTCGGCTCCTTATTATGTGATTACACTATAAAAGGAGCCCAAAGCCCTATTCCTATGATTAAGGCCCATACAATAATAAGAGGTCCGAGAAACCCATGGATTCCTCAAGTTCCCTGTGCCTTCCAGCGGTGATCCTTGCCATACTCCTCACTACGACGGTTTGGTCTGGTTGTAGTACACATTTCTGGTTGGCAGAAAACGAACTGCGTTAGGTCATTAGGCATTCGAGTGTATAGATAATTGATATGAAGTTTTCTCCCCATTGAAGGCTTCGTAGCTGAGTGGATACACTTTACACTTGTTGGGGTAGATTTACCCACTATGAAACTGAAAGTGTACACTTTTTTTGGTGATGAAATTAGCAACTATAAACGGAAAGTGTATTTGTGGCTTATGAACTCAGCAACTAAGAAGGAGGCGAATGGCGCTGGCCTCTTGAGGCGCTTGCAACGGCGCGGCCCGGGATGGCTAATACAGCTGCCCGGCATGAAGGGCAGTATCGCTTCGGGCTTCGGATTCCGTGAGTCGTAAGTTGTGACCTCCATGTTTAACCTGCGAGGGCTTAGGGTTCAGGGTTTAAAGGTTTTATGTTTCGGGTGGAGTTCGCCTTGATTGCAAAGGGAAAGCTTTCCCCTCAACCCTAAACTCTAATCAGCTGCTTAGGGCGTATTGCAACTAGGGTGCTATCCTGTTCAACCGCGCCTGTGAGCATTGTTCTCTGCCATGCGAGAGGAAGAAAATCAGCTGCCTAATCCGAAGAGCCTGAAGTCGCTAAAGCCCCCACGACCGTCCGTGGACTCTCAAACAGTTGTACTCAGTTCTCTATTGCCAAACCTTGAAACTTTTTTGGGTTCTTATAGTTTAGCAGTAATCTGGAAGCTTAACCTTTGATTTCTTAATGGCTTATCGGGGAAGTAAGAGTAGATGATCCCAGTTCATGGGCATTTGGGATCGAATAGAGGCTAGATGGAGGGTTTTGCCCACTTGACCCACTTTCCAGCAAGCTGCCTACACGCAATAATCGCCAGTTCTACCAGGTTACCACCCTCCAGAGTCTTCTAGCATCCTGTTGAGGGTTTATAGGGTGTATTATCAAGCAAAGCGGGCCACCTGTCAGCCTTTATAACCCTTCTATGTGGCTGGCTTATATAACCTGTAGCCAAAGAGACCCACAGTGAAAGGTCGTCTACAACGCCGCCATGAGCGCGTGTGCGCAGGCGATCCAGTGGATCCAAGCCTGTGATTTGATGAGGCGCCCCTACGTGGAGGTTCATGGGTGGTTACAAGTCCCTTAATGTGGTTTATAATTCTACATACCCTACTTATAACACCAATTATAACTACCCATGAACCTTATAAGTGTGGGTTATAATTCTAGTTACCCTACTTAAAACACCAATTATAACTACCCATCAATGAACCTGTTGGTCTGGGGTCGGCCAGCCTTCAAGGCTGAGTTTAGGATCGGATGTAGTCTTCAGGGCTTCAGGTCTGGAAGGTGTAGGACCCTGCACCCTACTTGTTAGTTTCGACGAACCCCTAAAGCCTCAGGTTTCCTGGTTGTACAGATTTTCCTGTTAATATAGGGGCCTAAATACTTACCAATATTATTTTCGGTGTTCCTTATCATAAATATAGTATGATGGGTCCCAGAAGGCCCCTATAGTAGCTTCCACTTGGGTTGCGGTCTTGCGCTTGTGGCGCCGGCAGTCCAGAAATCCATCAACATGTCTTCTGTCCGGCGTAGGTTGGGTATGTGCACTCTGGAGCACGGCCTCCAAAACAGTTTAATCCCTCGCTAAACCCGAAAAAAGTCAGGAAGCTCTCATCACCTCAAAGCGGAACGAGAGACCCAGGTCACTCCCCTTCCACTTGGCCCCTGCCGATGTGCAAACAGCCTTGCCCGTGATAGTGTTGTATGTCACGGGACCCTTATGTTTGGGGGTTATTTTGCTGTAGGGTCCAAGGCTTAGGATGCAAGGAGGGTTGTCCTTTTGTGGTTCGGGACTGGAGCAAGCAGCAGCAGCAGCAGCCTTTTTCGCCTTACTGTGTCTTGACAGAATCCTTGCATCTTGGCAAGAGATGACATACATACACAGGACACAGTGGGCCTAACGCATGCTGCCCATACATTTCTGGGTTTTACCATTCGGTGAGCACTTTCGAAAAATGATGCACAAAACTTGGGGGAAGGCAGATGACGGCTGGCACCGTGGCACCATCTGTCGTCACCTTCAACAGCTTGGTCAACGCGCTTGCTTCTGGACGCAGCTCGGCCTGGCGAGCACGACTTGTGCTGAACTGCCACCTCGTCTTTGCATCCCTAAGCTGGCCCTAAATCCTAAACCCGACGGGTGCGCAAGCTCCGTGCTCTAGGGGTATCAGTTGCTGTTGGCTTCACTCCTCGGAGAGCACGCATCACCTTGAGACTTCACTTGAACATGTCTCCTTCGGACGCACTCCCTGCGGTGCGATGTTGTCAGCGTTGGCGGGTGCGTGAAAACCCTACAGCCTGAACCATTCTTTTTTCCAGAATCACGAGGCGTCTCGCAGCTAGTTCTCTGAATTTTGGCCCCTTTTAAGGTCGCAAATATATATATATATATATATATATATATATGGCACCCTTATAAAAAAAAAGGATCTCACAAGTAACCCAAATTTAGATAGCGACCCTCGTGCGACAGGCAAGCCAGAACTGGTTCTGCAGTTGCTCCCAGCCATGGCAGAGGCGGCCTCGCTGCCCAATGCCGTCACCTTGCCCCGCGGCTGAAGTTGGGTCTTGCGTTGCAGAATGCAGTGGACTAGGGTGGAGGCTTTTTTTAAAGGATCAAGGCATATATTATATATGTAGATATGTATGTGTATATATATATATATGTATATATATATATGTATATATATATATATATGTGTATGTATATTTATTCATTTATTTATTTTTTATTTTCTATTTATGTATATCCCCGGAGGGCTGATTTGTCCCCAGCCCCTGTTGAGGAAGCGAGCCCCAAAGTATCTGAAGCAACCCCAATCCGTAGGGTTTAGGGTTTCAAGCAGGCCTAGGCCGAAATGCCCTCCAGGAGTTTCCGACGATGAGGGACTCTTGCATAAAGGACTCAATAGTACATTCCTCCTCATTCTTAGGAAACCCCACGTTCATTGAGCATCAGGAGTTCGGCAGTCGATGCCTGCGCAAGGGGAGAGAGGTGCGGGCCATGAGCTGCAGAGCCTGAGGGCTTTTAGGATTTGGGGTAGGGCTTATAAACGCGTGTCGGGACACCCGGAGCTCTTGTCACTAAACCCTAAACCCCATTCACTAGCCAGTATCGCTGCAGACCTTGCCAGGCTTGTCCGAGTGTGAGTGTCAAAAAATTCTAAACCCTAAACTAAGCCCTAAACTTAAACCCTAAACCCGACAGCTTACATGGGTTGGATCTGTTGAAACCATGCTGTAGCTTTGCAATGGTCCCAGTCGCGAGAAGGCCCATCCCCTTCCGGTCCTGATATAGGAGAAACCTTAGGTCTTTATTAAGGTTCTTTATTTTCTAACTAAGTATGGATCCTAATATATCCTAATACTTTGGTTATGGATCCGAATAGATCCTAATATTATTGATGTTGTAGTGCCAGGGTTTCTTAACCAATTTCCTACATTACCATTCCCACATCTAGGAAATCGGCAGCTGCCAAGAGGCTCCTAATATGGAAGAATGATAGTTGCCAATGTTAGGCCTGACGGTTCCTTTTGCGGCTGCTGCTGTTGTTGTTGCTAGTACTATTTGCGCTATTCTGATTTAATGAATACAGACAAACATATAAATAAATAAATAAATATACATACATATATATATATATATATATATTGTTCTCTATTTTTATTTATTCATATCTTCTACCATAGAAATAATACACCAAACCTTACTCTACTCTTGATACGTTTGTTTTATTTCACGGGAATATCGACCTTGAACTGTTTCCTTGAAAGCATAGGGTGGAGGGTTGAGGGTTTAGGGTTGTCCTATTTGGAGGCACTTCAGAGATACCCCTTTCATGGCAAGACTGGTGAACAAGAAGCTTCTAGCCGGGGTTTTAGACATTTTGCGCGTAGTGGGTTTCAGGGCTTTAATAGGACATGCACCTTAGATTACACAGGGATCCTTGGTGCAGTGTTAGTTTTAGGCATATTCACTAAAGATGGAGTGAATTGGGCTCTCTGACAAACCTGCATGTTCAAGAAGGCAAGTGAAAAAATGCTAGGGGCCTAGAAGCCATCCGCTGTATACTATAAGCTTAATAAGTTTTCTAAGCCCTAAACCCCCAAGCCTTAAATCCTAAACCCCCAAGCCCCCCGCCCCCCACAGACCCCGCAGCCTTTGTTTGACAACTCCTCTGAGCCAGGTGGATGTGGGCTTTCACTGTCCTGGAGTGGTTTCCCAGGCCAAGCGATCAGGAATTAGGGTTTGGAATTTAGGGTTAGGGGGGCAGCGGGTGTTTAGAGTTTACTGTAGGGTTTAGGGGTGGTACAGGTTGTGGGCTTTCGCAGGGGAGTGCCGACATGTGCCACCTGTTCGAACGCAACAGCTGAAAAGAGCAGTGCAGAACACCTTACTGATAAGAGCCCTACGCCTTCTGAGTAGTTTCTCCTGGTTTTGGAAGCCTAAACCCCAACCCCATAGAACCCTGAACCATGAAGCCCTTGGGGCGATGCTGGCACCCTTTGCATGTTGAAGTTCCTCAGCCCACTCTGCTCCTTTGCACCCGAGCCCCGAAACTGCTAAGGTTTAGGGTCTAAGGGGTTCCCTTGAAGGGTCCCTTTAGAATGAGTTGTTTGTCAAGGGTTTCTGCAGGGCGACTATTACGAGTTGATAGAGGATTCGGGTTTGTATTCCGCTCACAGGCTTCCTTTGAGGGTTTAGAGTTTAGAGTCCTAGCTTCAGCCCCTTTCCGAGACTGCCTGTGAGAGTCAACCTCGAGTTCCCGTTCGCCCGAAAAAAGCCCTAAACTCAGACATAGGATTCGGATCTGCAAACATATTGCTCCTTGGGAGGGTAGGGCAAGGTAAGGCCAGGTAATATCAATTAGGAGCGACGTAAGTGACATAAGAGTCCAAGCCAGTCTAAGCCCGTAAGAATCTCAACTCGTTAACGTCACATCTCAATATTTTGCCGCAGGTTGCTGTCACGGGCTTGTGCTTGGGTCTGTTGAGCTGTCGTGTTCGTGGCCGGTCACTTCATCAAGCACGAGTCGGAGTAGCTAACAGACCTGGTGTTTCTAGAAACCTTGATGACTAAGAGCATAAGCGCCGAGCATGAAGGGATGGGGGGTGCTTACTTAAGTTTCTGGGTTTAGGCTTTAGGCTTTAACTTCCAGGCGAAGGGCGACGTTGGGAGCTGGAACTCCTAATCGAACTCAAGCCCTTCAAATGCAGGGTCTAAGCCACCCTAAAAACCCTAAGCCCTAAACCAAAAAACGCATCAGTTCTCAAGGCCCAGCCCTGAACCCCACAGTTTCTATACCTTATGACCATTCCTCAGCCTTAGCTATCCAAACCCAGAACCCGGAAGCCCGAAGGCCATTAACAAATCCCAACCTCCATTCCTAGAAGCGCTCGATACATATATATATATATATATATGTATATATATATATATGTATATATATATATATATATTATGTGTATATTCACCTTCGCAGTACCCTGAAAGAGAAGGCCAACAAACCCAAGGGAAGCCCCTCGGAACTTGGAGGTTCTTGTGTCGTTGTGAGAGGAGTTTTTAGGGTATATAGGGTTTGGGTGTAGGGTTTAGGGTTTAGGTACTNNGACCTCGTTCAAAAGGGTTTAGGGTTATAAGTAAGGTAGCCATCAAGACATCTCAGGGGATTTATAACCCAGTTATAAACACCCATGAACCCCCCAAAGAGCCCAATACCCCCTCAATGGCGGAATATACCTTAACTCTTATATATGATCCCGGCTCGGCCGGC